GGGGCGGCAGCTCCATGGTGTGCAAACCGATCCCTCCGCAGAGGTCACGGAGCGGTCCCCGCCTGCCAAGCAGGAGCTGGGCTGAGCAGCACCCTGCCAGCACCCTGCCAGCACCCTGCCAGCACCCTGCCAGGCAGCAGCACGCCCTGCCTGCACACCCTGCCCATGCCAGGGGAAGGGGGAGGGGGGGGTTACAGCTACCGGACCCCCACGAACGACCCCCTCCCCAAACACACGGGTTCTGCCAATAAAAAAACCCACCACAACACAAGCATCTGCAGGATGCTTCACTGGTGGCTTCAGCATTCCCTTAACCCTGCCTCCACCGTGGTGGATGTCTGTCTGTCCGTCCATCTGTCCGTCTCTCAGCCCCTCTGGGCTCTGGAGCTACCAGAGTATCCTCCTCCTCCTCACCTCTCCCCTCTCACCTCCCAGCCAGAGCACCCCCAGCATCACAAGCAGCTGTTGGTTCCAAACAGGGGGACACACCAACATCTGGGGCTCCAAGAGGAATTTGGGGTATTTCCATGAGGGCAGGACTGGCCTTTCTCTTTGGAAAAGGTTCTCTCCCCACCAGCAAGGCTGGAAGAAGCCACCACGGGTCACGCCAGCCCTTTGGCATTGTCACCAACCTCTCCAAGGATGCTGGGGTGGCTGCTGGGACCTGTTGGAGCTGGGGCCACCACGCAACCAGAGGCTCCTGCTCCCTAGCACAGGGACCTGGAGCAGAGACCAGGAACACGGGACAGAGCCAGATAAATCACCACCATCTCCTCCAGCAGAGCTCCAGTCACTGCCAACAGCAGAGGGTCTCATCAAGACCCTCACCCAGCCAGCCTGGGCCACCAGCCCTGCAGAGCCAAAGCTCCAGTTTTCCCTGAAATCCAATAAAACGACGAATTCCCCCTATTTTCCCAGGCATTGGGTGGTGGAACCACAAGTGAGGAGCCGGCGCAGGGTCTCGTGGCTGTGCCCGTGGATCAGGGAACACCGTGGAGGGAAGGGGCTGCCAGCACCATGCACCATCCTGGATGGATGCATCCCAGGGATGGGGACACTGGAGAGCTGCTCCTGCCTGTGGGACATCACCCAGGGAACTTCACTTGGGAACACCAAGCTGCTCCCCACCAGCGTGGGGCAAAGCTGCCCTGGGAATGTGCTGGGAACAGCACCAAAAGGTGCTCAGGTGGGGCTTGAGCCCCACTGCCCCCTGAGCCAAAATGGTGTCCAAACACCATTGGCATCCTGGATGGAACAGGCTGCCCAGGGAAGCTGTGGCTGCCCCATCCCTGGCAGTGTTGAAGGGCAGGTTGGATGGGGCTTGGAGCAGCCTGGGCTGGTGGGAGGTGTCCCTGCCCATGCAGGGGTGGGACTGGATGGTCTTTAAGGTCCCTTCCAACCCAAAGCAGTCTGGGATTCTATGATCCTCTCACCTCCCTTGCCATGGTGGGCTGGGGGGTATTTTGGTGGTCCCAATCCAAGCAAGGGGGTATTTTGGTGGTCCCAATCCAAGCAGGGGGTACATTTTGGTGGCCCTCATCCAAGTGTGCGTGGGGGGTATGTTTGGCAATTCCCCATCCAAGCAGGGGGTGCATCTTGGTGATTCCCCATCCAAGCAGGGAGTGTTTTGGTGACCCCTGTCCAAGCAGGGGGTACATTTTGGTGATCCCTGTCCAAGCAGGGGGTACATCTTGGTGACCCCTGTCCAAGCAGGGGGTACATCTTGGTGATCCCTGTCCAAGCAGGGGGTACATCTTGGTGACCCCTGTCCAAGCAGGAGGTACATCTTGGTGATCCCTGTCCAAGCAGGGGGTACATCTTGGTGACCCCTGTCCAAGTAGGGGGTACATCTTGGTGACCCCTGTCCAAGCAGGGGGTACATCTTGGTGGCCCCTGTCCAAGCAGGGGGTACATCTTGGTGACCCCTCTCCAAGTAGGGGGTACATCTTGGTGGCCCCTGTCCAAGCAGGGGGTACATCTTGGTGACCCCTGTCCAAGCAGGGGGTACATTTTGGTGATCCCTGTCCAAGCAGGGGGTACATCTTGGTGATCCCTGTCCAAGCAGGGGGTACATCTTGGTGATGCCCACCCAAGCAGGGGGTACATCTTGGTGGCCCTCATCCAAGTGTGTGGGTGGGTGTGGGGGGTGTATATTTAGCAACTCCCCATCCAACCAGGGGGTCACGTTCCGTTGTCCCACCATCCCAGCCTTGGTGGGGCAGGAGGGGGGTGGAAAGGGGGTGGGAGCTGGTGATGGTGGAGGGG